TGTGTGTGTGTGTGTGTGTGTGTGTGTGTGTGTGTGTGTGTGTGTGTGTGTGTGTGTGTGTGTGTGTTTTGGTGACTACTATAAATGGGCTAGCTTTCCTGATATCTATTTCTGCTAGTTCACTGTTGGAGTATAAAATGCCACAGATTTTTTTCTGTTGGGAATTAGTATCCTGCAACTTTACTGAAATCATCTGTCAACTCTGAGAGGATTTTTGTTTGTTTTTGTAGAGTCTTTAGGCTTTTCTATATATAAGACTATGTCATCTGAAAACAGGGAAAATTTGACTTAGTCTTTTCTAATCTGGATACCCTTTATTTCTTTCTCTTGCCTGATTGCTCTGAGTAGTACTTCCAAAACTATGTTAAATAGGAGTAGTGAGAGTGGGCATCCTTGTCTCTTTTGGGATGATATTGGTAGTGGGTTTGTATTATATGGCTTTTATTGTTCTGAGATGCTTTCCTTCTATACCTAATTTATCATGAAGGGATGTTATCAAGTGCTTTTTCTGCATCTATTGAGATAATTATATGGTTTTGTACTTGATTTTGTTGATGAGGTGTATCATATTTATTGACTTGCATATGTTGAACCATCCTTGCATCCTTGGAATGAATGCCACTTGATTATATTGTGTGTGTGCGCGTGTGTGTGTGTATAGATATGGCTTTTTTTTTTTTTTTGATGTGTTGCTGTGTTCTATCTGCCAATATTTTATTAAGGATTTTAGCTGTGTGTGTGTATAGATATGGTTTTTTGTTTTTTTTTTTTTTGATGTGTTGCTGTGTTCTATCTGCCAATATTTTATTAAGGATTTTAGCATCTATGTTCATTAAAGGTATAGACCTATAGTTTTCTTTTTTTGTGATATCTTTGTCTTGTTTGGGTATTAGGGTGATATTGGCCTCATAGAATGAGTTTAGGAGAACGGCCTCTCCCCCAATATTTTGGAATAGTTTGAAGATAATTGATATTAATTCCTCTTTAAAGGTTTTATAGAATTCAGCAGTAAAACCATCTTTTGAGTTCTATTTATTTTTTGTTTGTTTGTTTTGGTTTGGTTTAGTTTCTATTTCATTCAGTTCTGCTCTGATCTTAACTATTTCTTTCCATCTACTAATTTTGTGATTGTATTGTTCTTATTTTTGTAGTTCTTTGAGGTGTAGTGTTAGGTTGTTCATTTGAAATCTTTCTATTCTTTTGATGTAAATGCTTTTGCAGTGTTCCTTGGGTTTCAGTATGATGTGTCTTTATTTTCATTAATGTCAACAGTTTTCTCCATTTCCTGTTTAGTTTCTTCTTGGATCTGTATGGCAGTGAGCAACATATTGTTTAATTTCCATGTGTTTATATAGTTTCCAGAGTTTTGCTTATTATTGATTTCTAGTTTTAATCTGTTGTGGGCTGAGAAGATACTTGAAATGATTTCAATTTTTCAAAGTGTGTTGAAGCTGGATTTGTGAGCCCACATGTGGTCTATCCTGGAGAATGTCCCATGCACTGATGAGAAGAATGCATATTCTGTGGTTGTTACATGAAATGTTCTGTAGATGTCTGCCAGGTCAAATTGGTCTAAAGTGTGGTTAAAACCCTATGTTTCTCTGTTGATTTGTTGCCTAGATTATCTATCTGCTGTTGAGAGAGAGGTATTCAGATCCCTGACTTCTATCGTATTGTAGTCTTTCATTTTCCTTAAACTGAATAGTGTTTGCTTTATATATTTATGTGTTCTGATGTTTGGTGCCTGTATTTTTATGGTTGTTATGTCTTCTTGCTGGATAGATCCCTTTATCATTATATAATGGCCTTCTTTGTCACTTTTTATAGTTTTTGGCCTAAAGTTATTTTATCTAATAGAAGAATAGCTTCTTCTGCTTGTTTTTGACTTCCATTTGCATTATATATCTTTTTTCTATCCCTTCACTCTTGTAGTAAGATGATACCCTTCAGTAACAATCATAAATGTAAATGGATTAAATTTCCCACTCGAAAGACACAGACTGGCTGATTGGATTACAAAGCTAGACCCAGTTTTATGCTGTCTACAAGAGACTCACCTCACCTTTTTTTCTCTTTTTAATGTTACATTTGTTGCCTGTGTCAGCAGGCAAATCTCAGTTTAAAATTTTCTTGCTAAGAAATTTATCCTTGTTCTTTTATCTTTTATCCTTAATGATATGTATTCTATTATTTCTAAGATGATACACATAATAAGAAAAACAGCTTATGCTTTTTCAACATTAAATAATTGCCAAGCTCTATTAAAAGCTTTACATGTGCTGTGTATTTCACTATAACCATCTTCTGAAATAAAAAGTATTTATTTACATTTTATGAATGAGGTAATCTAAGTTGTCCAAGTTCAGTTAGATATTGAGGAACAAAGCACAGTAAAAACCCTAGAATAGCTCATTATTTTAACACAACACTATACAAAATGAAATAAAGTAAAAATTGTATTTGGTATCCTTTTACTTAGATAGTGAGCTATTTTTTTTTCTCTTTTTCACTTAAAATTTTATACTTCTAGGGCCGGCCCCATGGCACACTCAGGAGAGTGCAGTGCTTGGGAGCGCAGTGGCGCTCCCACCGCGGGTTCGGATCCTATATAAGGATGGCCGGTGCACTCACTGGCTAAGCACAGTGCGGGTGACACCACGCCAAGGGTTGCGATCTCCTAACCGGTCACAAAAAGGACAAAAAAATAAATAAATTTATACTTCTAGTGAAAGGGAAATAACAGCAAGCAACCACTAATTTATCTTTAACCCTCCAATCTTAGATTTACAAGCATGTTACATGAACTAACAGGTATTCACTAGATGAGTCATAGTGGCATTAGATTCATCATGTTTTGAATGTTTCTCTGTAATATCCACTTAAGCCATTCTGGTCTACATTTCATCAATTTTTATGTAACTGGAAGTTATTATCTTAGTTTGGGCTGCTGTGACAAAATATCATAGACTGGGTGGCTTACAAATGAGAGAGACTAATTTTTCACAGTTCTGGAGGCTAGGCTATTGAAGATCAAGGAGCCGGCAGATTCTCTGTCTGGTGAGGACCTGCTTCCTGGTTCATAGATGGTTGTCTTCGAGCTGCATCCTCACATGGCTAAAGTGGTGAGGGGGCTTTCTGGGGTCTCTATATATGGGTGCTAATCCAATTCATGAGTGTGGATCGCTAATGACCTAATCACCTGGAAAAGGCACCATCTCCTATTGTGATCACAATGGCGGTTAAGATTTCACTGTAAAACATTCAGTGGATAGCAGTTACCAGCTATCAATAACTGCTTCTTCTTTCAGCATTTGGATAAACAATCCCTCATATCCACTTGCATTTTTGATCTTCCTTTTCTTTCTCTAACAGGGTTGTCAAATAGAACTTTTTATGCTGCTAGAAATGTTCTATATCTCTGCTGTTCAAAATGGCAGCCATTAGCGATACATAGCTTTGAACACTTGAAATTTGGCAAGTGAATTGAGAAATTGATTTCTTAATTTTATTTAATTTCAGTTAATTTGAATTTAAGCAAACGTATGTGCCTAGTGGCCACTATATGGACAGTACAATGCTACAGTATCTTTGTGCTTCCTTTAAAAATTTATTAGCTACTTTTGTGGCATATTTCTCTAATAATTTGCCTTGAGTTATTAAATTTACCAAATAATTGTTTATGGCATAACTCCTATGTGTAAGTTTTCATGTTAAGCATAATTTTGATCTCCTTGCTCAGTCTTAGCATCTTTTTAAAAATATATTTTATCATATCTGGGAGTTCTTTATCTCTTCAAATACACACACACACACACACACAGCCAAAATCCTCTTACCGTTACTGCTATATAAAAAAGTCAAGCAATGTGTTCTCTACTTGTATGGTCACTGTAGTAGTTTCCCTTTACCTATATCTGGGAGTTCTTTATCTCTTCAAATACACACACACACACACAGCCAAAATCCTCTTACCGTTACTGCTTTATAAAAAAGTCAAGCAATGTGTTCTCTACTTGTATGGTCACTGTAGTAGTTTCCCTTTACCAATTTTTCTAAATATGTTAATGTTGTAAGTTCATTTTTTTTCATGGAAATTTCTATCACAAACTATTAGTCATGCTGCATTTCTGAAGGCTTCTGACCTGCAGGAATTTTCTAGGAAAATTATTTTTAAATGTGTCTTGCTACTCCCCTCTTACTCTCTGCTAATTTTCTTGGTGCTGCTAATTTGCACTGATTGAATTAGGTATTGTCACCCTCTTTTATAGAAATAATGTCAAATCCTTAAAATAATTTCTCACAATGAATTATTTTTATGTTTAATTTGTAACCGTGGATGTGAACATTTAACAAACTACTTGATGGTTCTTACTTTACATCTCATGGCATTTTATTTTTATTATTTCAGGATCACCAAACAATATTGAGAGCATGGGCTGTAAAAGATTTTGCACCAAATTGCCCTTTATATGTCCAAATATTAAAGCCTGAGAATAAATTCCATATCAAATTTGCTGGTAAGTTTTTATCTTGAGTGAGATCCATTGAATTTCCTCAAATTCCCATTGTGATGTAAGAGTTCTATCTCTGAAGTTAGTGGCAACTTAATAGATTCATAATTGTATAGAGCTGAGAAAGATTTCTTTTTTTTATCATTTACTTGTTTGTTATTGTTTGCTATAAGAGGATTTCTTTGATATGTGACAAAATAATATTTTGAGATGTCTTTACTTTTTTATATACCTTTGTGATTCTAGCATCTGAGCTTTTGTGATGCCTTAATAAGCCTAAGTAGATTAGCAGTGGTAGATTTGTGCATAATGTAGACAGTGGTTTCAATGGTACATTGGTTGATTTATACTTAACTTACACATAGATAATGCATTGTTATATATTATTTAATACACATATATATTTAACATGCAATAGAGTAATATATTAAAATGCATTCAGGTCTGTTTAAATGGATTTAATTGGGGGGATAGAATTTGAAAAGAGTTCAAGAAAAAGATACATATGAATTATTTTAGGAGGCACTGCTTTTAAAATAACTGATCACATGAGATTATGTTTTGAACTATTAAGAAATTAAACAGCAAAATGATATTTTATTTTTTTCTCAAATGCTTCTGTAGGAGAGAGGAACTAACTTTGATTAAGTCAGTAATTTATGTACATGTTTTTCCCCCAAACATAATAACCTTTTTCTTTTTTATATTATATTCCATCTTAATAGTCTAAAGCTTCAAGTCATTAAAATATAATTTTAACAATGTGTCAGCAAAATGTATTTCCTTCAGAAAATGTGTTCACGTATCTTAAAATGCTTACCTATTAGCATATGGTATTAAAATAAAAATGGAAACACAAGCACATTTTTAAATAATAAGAAAATATGAAATTGTTGCTACTTAGTTTGCTGTGTCTTATATCATCTAGCCTTTTGACAAACAATGTCATCGATTTATTTTAAATGTGTAGTAAACAACTTAAAATAATGGCTCTCAACCTTGGCTTCATGTTAGGATGTCTTTGGAAGGTTTTTAAAATACTGATCATAGGGCCGGCCCGGTGGCGCACTGCTACAGTGCGCTGCTTGGGAAGCATGGCGGCGCTCCCGCCAAGGGTTCGGATCCCACATACAGACCGGCCGCTCACTGGCTGGGCGAGGTGCGGGAGCAACACCGAGGGTTGCGATCCCGTTGCCGGTCCCGGTCCAATACAGGCGCTACACTGAGGGTTGCGATCCGTTGCCGGTCACGAAAAAAAAAAGACAAAAAGGAAAAAAAAAAAATACTGATCATAGAGATTCAAACTTAAATGTTCCGAGATAGTGCCAGGGCTTCTTCAAGCTTATTTTCTAAACTGAAAAGTAAAAATTACCTCTTTTGTAAAAGACTTTGTAAAATTAAATTGAAAAAGTATATGTAAAGTACTTTATCATTATATGTGTAACATAAAGTACTTCATAATTATATTTAATACTTACATCATATACATGCACACATTTTATGTAACATAAAGTACATGCATACATTACACATAAATTACAATGTATGTATATAATTTATGTAATAATATACCTATGATATATACATACTGTATTTGTAACATAAAGTGTACATTAATACATAAATCACATATGTAACATAAGGTACTCCATAATTACACTTGTAAAAGTACCTATTACTTATATATAATTAGCATTCAATAAATGCCAACTGTTTACCTAAATGACCTTTATAACTAAGCTGTCATTATTATTTAGCAAAAGGAATATTTTTGAAAAAACTTTGTTATAACTGCTAATAATTTGCTGTGACAAAATTTCTAGGGTGGCAGTAATGACATGAGCAATAGGCAAAGTCCTAAAAATGTAAATTTAAATTTGAGTGCCACCACTTAAGACTTGGGTAGGCAGTTTAGTATTCTGAGTCCTATTTTTCTCTATTAAAATGCCATAATATTTGATATCTTTGCTATTGGTTAGGGTTAGCAGTAAGGATTAAATAAGTAATGTCTGAAATATATTAGATGTTCAATAAATAGGTAATGAACCTGGAACTTAAAACAATAAGCAGTTTGGGAAAATAATTTGTAATTTTCATTGTGTCATAACTAAAATTCAGAACAGATTTCAGTTTTTTCTTCCTTCTTTAGCAAGCCATTTATATTCTCCCCACAGGTAGATGAAACTTGCTGAATTAGTCTACTTCTATAAACCAAAAATTATAGAGACTATTTGCATTAATTTTTTTCAAATTCTAATTCTGCCATTACTTTGAAAAACCCATTAGAATAAATAGATTATTTAAAATTCTATCCAAGTAGTTTATCTCAATATGTCTCATTTTGACACCTGTTGAAATTCCTTTTAATAGTGTCAGCATTCTTTTTTTTTTTTTGTCCTTTTTGAGACCGGCCGCACTGCACTCAGCCAGTGAGTGCTGTGAGCGCACCGGCCATTCCTATATAGGATCCAAACCCGCGGCAGGAGCACTGCTACGCTCCCAGCGCCGCACTCTCCCGAGTGCACCACGGGCTTGGCCCAGTGTGTCAGCATTCTTTTATGGCTGAGATGGCCATTCCTATATAGGATCCAAACCCGCGGCAGGAGCACTGCTACGCTCCCAGCGCTGCACTCTCCCGAGTGCACCACGGGCTTGGCCCAGTGTGTCAGCATTCTTTTATGGCTGAGATTACAACATCCCACAGGAGCTCCTCTTATATAGAGATGAAATCACCTAGTTTCATTAAAGTGCCATAGAAAGAGTTTGGAGAGATGTATGAGACTCTCAAACCAACATAATATATTTTATACCTCAGCATGAGGTTAAAAAGTTTATGGACTTAACCTTTCAAAGGGCAGTATATCAAGCTGTCAGTTCGTGTAGTAGATTGTTGAAAAATAATGGTTGCCAAGGAATCGTGTTCCCTGTGTCTGTGTCCTGTTGTGATGTGACTTTGCAGCTTTTGCCCATGAAGAGATGAAATATATTTCCTCACTCTTGAATACGAGCTTGCCTTGTGGCTTGTTTTGACCAATAGAATGTAACAAATGTTACACTGTATGACTTCAGAAGCTAAGCTTTAAAAGGCCATGCAGCTTCTCCTTGCCCTTTGTTGGAACACTGCCCAGGGACTACATTTGAAGAAACCCAGGTTGGCCTCTCTAAGGATGAAAAATCACATGGAAAGTGAGCCTCATCCCTCCCAGCACCCCACCTGTCCAGCTCCCAACTTACCAGCAAATACAGGGAATCACACTTATCCACAGAATATTGAGAAATAAAATGGTGGCTGTTTGAAATCAATAAGTTTTGTGTTGTTATTTAGCAATATTGTTGGCCATAAAATAATAATTGCTTTATTTGAAATAATATTTACTTGATAATATTTATTTTATCTTCTTGTTCTTGTATCCTCATGAGTATTAAATATGCATGATTGCAATTATCACAAGATATATGAGACATTTGTATTTCCATTTCTTTAAATAGCCTCTCCAGTTTACCTTAAATTGTGTAAATCATACTGTGATTATAATTTATAATTTTTAATTTTAAAAGTAAATCTAGTTGGCTAGTTAGTTCACTTGGGAGAGTGTGGTGCTGGTAACACGAAGGTCAAGAGTTCAGATCCCTGTTCTGGTGAGCCACCAAAAAAAACAAATAAAAGTAAACCTATTTTATTTAAGATGTGTGGAACAGAGAAATTTCAAAGTTCCGTTTATAAATGTATTCAATTTTAGAAAGCAAAAACACTATAGCAACTATTCCTTTATGCATATCTATCATTCATGTCTTTCACGGATCACTTTATCCAGAACAAAGTAATTGTAGGCATTCATTAAAGTAAGTTATCAAATTATAACACTATTATTTGAATGAATTATAGTATTAATTATTATACTATTAATTATAATTAAAATAGCTTCTATACTTTGATCAGATCCAAAGGGGAAAAATCTATATGGATGTGATCTCAGCAATACAAAAATTTTGCTGTTACTCATACAAAGAAAGGAAGGTAAAAATAATCAGCTTTGAGATAAACAAAAATAAAATAGTCACTAGAATAATAGTTATGATAAGAGATTTCTGAATATAAACTCAATTACTACAAATTACAGTGAGATTCTAGCAACATAAAAATATAATTCTCAGATGATTTGATTATTTTCGTCATCACAAATTTTCAAAGAAAAGATACAAATGTTACTCACAGAGGTAACAGAGTTTAGTTTCAGCAATTCGTCCCTTTTATAATAAATTTGTCAAAGTAGTTAAAACTGCAAATTCTGGAATGGAACATTGCTTGGTGAAGTCTTTGTTATTTTGTATATTTACTGCATGACCTCAGGCTTCTTCATCTCTCTAAGCTTGAGCTTTTCAAATTGTAAAATGCAGATAATAAGAAACACTACCCTATAGTGTAATGATTTTAAAACTACTCAGAAGAAAACCAAGCACTACTAAATAATACCTATGAAAGTAATTATTAATCATTGAGTGCCTATTTATCATCCTCATAACAAATTTGTATTATATTTGTTTCCAGAAAAAGTAGCTGAGATTCACCCATGATGTTTTACAAATAGCTTATTACAGCAGTTCAAAAAACTCAAAATTCTGAGTTACACACATTTTCATAGAGTAGAAAAAGAAAGTTATCTCCCCAACTCATTTTATGTGACTAACATAGCCTTGATAAAAAATTCAAGGATAGTATTAGATATGACATTTAGAGAGTAATTTAACTGGTTAATGTAGTTGAACAATTATATAAAATATATTAGGAAAATAAAGTAAGTAATATTTTTTAAAAAGAATATATCATCACCAAGTTGAAATTATTACACAAGTAGATTATCAAGTTACAGAAAAGAATAACTATATCATCATTTCTCTGGAAAATAATTTGAGAGAGAACTTAACATTTACTTACAATTTAAAAAAGAAAAAGAAAGAAAAACTATTGAAAAGCTAGGAACAAAGAACTCCTTAACCGAAGGAAA